AACGCACGCACGCACGCACACACACACACACACACCACAAAAATAAGTTGCCTTTAAAATCATTGTACCTTGCAGTAACATACGTATACATTTTATTTAATTAAATAAAATTGTATTAATTATATGCAGAGTTGGATAAGTTATATTTTTCTTTAATTAAGTTAAAGTTAATAACTCAGAAAATTAGTTACGTTAAAAGTTGCATGAACAAAAAAGTAATTTAATTAAAGTTTAGTTAAAATTAAATTACTCTAAATCTAAAGTTTGATGTCTGACACCTCACACCAGGACACCCTGAAATTGCTAATATAATCTTAAAAACCAGCGGGGAATCACTCGGAGAAACTCGATGTTAGGGCCTTTCGTAAGCCCGCCCGCTTTTTAACTACCATTACTCTAAATCTAAATAACAAAACAACTATAATATAGATAATCAAATTTTAATATTTGATTTGCTTTAATATATAAGCATAAACTCTCGATTCTACTAATAATAAGATTGCGTTCGGGACTTCGGAGAACAAGCTATTGTTGCTATCAGCGTTGATCAGCGCTATTGTATCATTCTATTTATAACATTGATAACGCTTTGAATGCAGAATTTAAGGATGTATTCCATTTTACGAATAATCGTTTATCCTTATTATTCAACGAATGTTAAACAAAGATAAATTATGCATTATGCGCATTATGTGTAAAATGGAATGTATCCTAAGTTTGTTAATTTTCATGCACTTTTGCGCACTGAAAAACGTCGTGTCCATTATAATTATTAAACTTTTTCTAATTCTCTAATGTTTGAAATTTTTATAGAAAAAAAATATTGGCGTTTAGAGACATAAAATTTTTTAACTTAGAAAAAATATTAATAAGTTAATGTGTTTAAAAAATATCTAGTTTAAGTTAAAAATTAATTAAGTTAAAATTAATTGTTTAAAATTAATTAAGTTAAGTTATTAAACAACATTAATTTGAACTAGACCGCGCAAGTGAATAATAAAAATAAATTTGAGAGCGCCTTCTGCGATGACGGCTGGATCTTGGTCTAATAAATTCTATATAAATTCGACATGAATTTTTAAATCTATTATTCAGCCATTTAAACTGTATGTCGAATCAATGTCGGACTTGTAACGTAATCATTAGCTGAAGTTAGATTAATGAGATCATAATTGATCTTAATTCGATGTTTATAAGCAGCTTAAAATACTGCGAAGAACTTATTGCGAAAAATATTACCTTAGTCAGGATATCTTACTGACTGAGACGATCTCAAATTTATTTGTAAAAGTTATTAATTTTTTAACTTTTTAAAATTAAATAATTATTATATCCATTCTTGATTGTATGATTATCAATTAATTTTAATTAATTGATTTAAAACAAATATTTGAATTATAGATGACAATAAGGAAAACTTTGAGTGACTTCAAACGGACGCATTACGACGGTTGGACAGGATTGAGAGGCCATGCCCAATGTTTTACGGAAGAACAACTAGCAATCTTACAAGATTTAACAGTGCCACCATCGCATTATGCTTAATCAGGAATGAAATTTTACTGACTGTTATAACGATAATTAGAATGAAAATCATGTCCACAAAGAATGTATTGTGAAGAATGTAAGTGTTCATATTAAAAATTCACCAAATGGCCATTTGCGCCAGTATTTATGAACTTGTTATTTTCTGTATAATTTTATACATAATAGTGCAAAATAGCGTAAATAGTGCATCAAGATATTCTAGAATTTTCGCGTATTAGCAAATATTACTATGTATGAGAGCATTATCAAGTTAAAACTTATCTCTAATTTAAAATATTGAAGTTATTAAAATAAAATATATGAAAATATATATAAATGTATAAGCAAAAATTTTATTTCTTAGATCTTATATTAAATTTTGTATAATTTTAAATGAAGAAATAACTTTTTTGCAAAGAAAATCTTGTTAGATCCATAAATAAATAATTAATATAATAATATACATAAATAATACTTAAAAAATAAATACTTAATATAAATATACATATAATTTATTTTTATATATAGATGATCTACAATTTTAAATACACAATACATTATATATATTTCTTGTCTTTTATTAACATAATCTCTTTTTATAAATTTGTCTCTCTCTTTTCCCTTCCCTTTCTCTGTGCGTGTTCGCACGCGCGCATAACATCAGTATAGATATTTTACGAATATAAATTAATAAAAATTAATTTTTAATTTGTAACAATAATCAATAAGTGTAAGATATTAACCGTTGTTGATACTCATGAACAAATTGCATACGTTGTTATCAATAAGATACCGTTTTTTTTTTCAAATTAATTAAAAAATAATAGGATTGAAGACACATTTAGAAGAATTTCTAGAACATATTAAAGTTTTGCTAGTACAGAGTTTGTACAAAGCACGAGTTCTACATCATTGATATACATAGTTCCATTATTGAACTATTCATTATTGAGCCTTGTGTTTTGACGTCTTTCATCATATTGTAAGCCACATCATAGGTAAAAAAAAAATCAACTTATTTCACTGGGACACAATCTTCTATATAATTAGTACGAGGTCCTTTGTAAATAAATAATATTTTTGATTAATTAACATTCTATCAATTCAAACCCAATAATTTATTCTTATTATCAACATATTGTATTCCATGTTATCAACGTATTGTTATTTAAGCAGATAGTAGTAATAGTTAGATATAATTAAGTATCCTTATGCATATTTGTCAAATGTACCAGTTAAGCAACGATGATCAATCAATAAATTACATATATTTTCATACAATATAAAAATTAGGATTATAGTCCGAGTTTATAATAGAGTTTATAATTTTTATTTGAGACAGATCTTAAAGTCTGTTTCTACATTTTAATAATCTTTTTGTATGGTGTTGAATGTCTTATGACATGATATAGAATTGTAAAAGTCGAGGGTGTGAATTACTTTAATAACACAAGGAAATTTTAGAAATTAAAATGGATTAAACACATTTTAGTATCGATAGATTTATCAATAATATAATTTTCTGTTGTATTTCTTAATAATAATAAATAGGCAAAGAAAACCGTCATATTCTGATAAAATGGAAGTGATGATAAGTTCTCATTTGCTTTTTTTTTTTAATAATAAAACATTTAAATGCAATTGAAAGCAAAAAATAACTTAAAAGTTAAAAAATTCAATTTTTTAAACAAATGGAAATGTACATTTCACATTAAATTAATTTAATCTTAAATCTTACGAGAATTCGTGCATTGAATATTTCGAAAGATATTTAATATAATCATGTAAAAAAAACGATATCTTACAATTAATATACGCTAATTGTAATTTTTTTTTAATCCAATTAAAACGGACGAGTACATCGAAACACAGCAATAATCAAAATAGTTATAAAAAAAACAAACAATTCACAATTTTAAAAGTATACAATATAGAAGAATAAAAAATATTTTTAAAACATTTTGAATCATTTTGTATCTGATTTATCTTCATTCTCTGCCACTATTTTAGTAATATTATATATTAAAATACAATATTTAATTTTAATAAAATGTGAATGCAAAATGAAAAATAAAAATACTTTTAATTTCATCATAATAAATAATTTATTCAACTGAGTAAACAAAATTTGCTTGATAATTTGCTAAATAACAATATAAAAGGTTCAAAGGTTAACTTTTTTTTATCTATTTTGTAATTTATTATTTTTTAGATAACTTTATTATTTTTTATCGAGTACATGATTATTTATAATGATAATACTAAATTATTTGCAATTGTAATTAATCATCAACGTTGTTAAAAAAAAATGCATGAATTTAGATTCACAAAATATGAATACACTATAAATTAATCAGAATAATCATGAAATAATTTTACGATGCATAATGACATAAAAAATAATAAATTTAAATATTCAATATTGTTATTAAGGTTAAAATTATATGATTATATATACTACTAAATGATATATTTATTTCATTCATTTATAAGATTTTTATATATTTATATTTTTATTTCTTTCCCAAATATTTATTATTATTTACTTATTTTAATTTGTTTAATACAGCTTATTAGCAATATTTTTATAAATATCATGTTATCCTAAATAGTATTGTGTACTTTATGTAAAAAGCTATAACTATGTTATGTAAATTAAATTATATAGTAAATTTCTTGCATCTAGAATACATCTGTTTAAAAATAAATATTACCAAAATAACGCAATCCAAATAATGCAACAATATACCTATACACAAAATCATCAATCTAAAAAGAATCCCCATATAAATTACAAAGTTCCTCAAGTACCTTATCTGATAAAACAGTTTTTGTACCATCAGTTTCACAACAAACATCACTTTTTGATTCCGAAAGATTAGATCGTTTAATATTAGGTGTCAACAAACAACTTAAACGTGACTTTAAAACCATGTACTCCTTCAAAGGCCTTCCTATCTTCTTATCTTTATATTTATTCTTCGCAGGAGTACGATTTGTAAACGGTGTAATTGAAGTATTAGATTTTATGTTAATATCCAATTCATTTTCTAAATTTACGAAACTGTCATTTGTGACATTCAAATTGTCCAAAACTTTTGCCATCAGACGTGCGGAACGTCTTCTCGTTCCGGATTTAAACTCTTTACATTGCTTTACGATTGGTGAGCTTAGAATTTCTTTGTTTTCTTTATTATTTTCAGAAGCAATATACGTTTGATCTAGCTGTATCCGGGGAACATTTTTTCCATCTGTTTCCAAACATTTGGATCTACTCATGCCAGGCGTTTTACAAGTTTCTCTAAAAATGTTGTCTGTTATTTCTGTTATTTGTTTAATCTTATTTTCATTATTGTCTTTAGTTTCCATATTTTCCGCATCTATCGCAGATAACACTTTTGTAATAATAGTTTGCGTTAATGTTATATCGGATACAACTTCTACTAGTCTGCAGGCAAGATGTTTCAATTTGGATGACAGAATTGTGAGTTCCGTTTTAAGAGCACATTGTTCCTCGTTAGTGCTACTTTGTAAATTCAAGCATTCGCTTATCAATTTGACAGTTTGCAAAGTTGAATGCAAATCTCCATAAATGTTTGTAGTGGTAGATGAGCATCTCATTTTTTCAACATTAATTAAACGCGTTTCTTTTATTTTGTCTGTATCAGGCAATACACATGTCGTAGACGAATCGTAACCTGTGTAATTTGAATCTGAATGTTCTTGAATCTTAATCTGAACATTATTTTGATCTATATCATTATCACTATACAGATTGCCCTCTATTTTTATATCAGTATTACCTACAGATGATAGCTGTGATCTGTTGGTTGTAACGTTACAGTCGTCATTTTGGCTTCCGCAAATATTAACATTTGAAATTTTATTAGCATTTAAATTCTCTGAGATTTTTTCCATTGCATTACTACTCGTGTCTGCAAGATCCAAGAAAGAAGAATGTAAAATATTTATACCAGACTGTTCGTTTACATTAAACATTTGCGATGACACATTCTGTGTAAGCGACGTTTTGTTCTTCATATGTACAACATCGGCATGCGCATGTGTATTTTCCACTTGAGACGAACAGTCTTCTAATGTTTCGGATAGGCTAGAATTTATATTTTCAGGAATCATTGATAAAGTGCGAAATTGAGATAACTCGGATCTGTTTCGCTTAAATCTATTTTTAATATGCAATTCTTTTATAGTATTCGGTGGCACTAAGAAACTTTTTCTTGTAGACAAATAGTTTTCCTTTTTTGGATCGTCACTTATGTTATTTGTATTAGCTTTTACAAATTTTTTATTTTTTATCGCGGAAATCGGTGTTTCTGAAAATTTTAAATTTCGTCGTACATTTCGTTCGGTATGAGGCAATTTCACACATACGTTCGTCACTGGAAAAAAATAATAAATTAAATAAATTAAGTAGAGATATTAATAGTTGCTCATAATAAAATATATGTTATGCATAAATGGACTGATTGTAAATAAGAAAAAAAATACTGACCATTTTTCTTTTGACTTGATGCCTTTTTTAGATACGGAGTGATTCTTTCAGGTAGGCTTATTTTAATAGCTGAATCTGTAACATATTGATTATATGATTTCTGTCATCAATGTAATATTGAAATAAATACATAAATGTGAATATAGTAAACCAATATTATTTTCAATCAAAAAATGATACATATCAATTTATTAAAAAATTAAGAAACTTGCGAGTGCATGTGTGTAAATGTGCGTTGCGCATGCGTATTTATATGTATATCTACATGTATATATAGTATAAATATGTACATACATACATATGATAATTTTTTGTATAAATCGGATTTTGTATAAATCGGATACACAATATAAATATAATCTAAAATAACCAAAAGTTTAATGCTTTTTTTACTACCTATAATATGCATATATAAAAACAATGGGCAAATTAGAATGTGCAAATATGTATATATTTTTTCTTAAGGTAGTTCTTTAATTTATAATAGTAAATCGAGTTACGACAGAAATGTCTAATTTTTTTAATATACTGAAGTTAAAGTGCCGAATTTAATTAACGTGTACAAAATTTTAAGGTAAGTTATCGATAAGTCGAGAAAAAAAATGTTGAAAATATAACTTTTCATGTATAACTTAGTGACAAAGCTTGGAGATGCTTCTCTGATTAACTGTATACAAACGTGATTTAAGATTTTTTTTTAAAAAACGAGATTATAATAGTTTAAAAAATTACGATTTTAATGGTCACAAAAAATAGGTCATCAGCCATTCTGGAAAGATATTTAATATTGAAATAGTAAAATATCGCGTAATCTCGCTAACATGTACATTATTTTCTTATCCTTGTCATTGTCACGAAGAGTAGCAATATCGTTTGTTTCATATTATTTCATTAGATATACACGTAGTTTTAATATTTTATCCAAATTATACAAACTTTTGTGATTTTAGGTGGGGCACTCCAAATTTTTGGCACTTTACTAAAAAACCAAAAGAGAGATTATAACACAAATGGACAAAATAATTATTGCCAGATCTCATACCAAATAACAATTATTTTGAAATATTAATAATATAATCAATCTACATATACATATATATATATATATATATATATATATATATATATAATATTTTATCCAAATTATATAATTTTTGTGATTTTAGGTGGGGCACTCCAAATTTTTGGCACTTTACTAAAAAACCACCTTAAAAAACAATTATGTTTCCTTTATATCAATTAATCCAGTTCATTATTCTAAATA